TTTATTAATTTTATTAATTTTAATAACAAGATTCCTGATGAATGAGAATGAATGACAGGTTGATAACTCAAACATTTCATCAGTATTATGAAAAATGTTATTGTGTTTTTATGGTAATTTTATGATTATAATTTGAAGCTATTGATTACTTTTTGATAGATTCGTAAAGCAGTTAAAAATAAACGTAATACATAAATTTTGGAGGTTATATGACCATTTAATAAAGCCTTCGCCACGTTTTCTTCATAAAAAAGCATTATTTTTATTTTATTTTATTTTTCAAAGAAAAGATCTGCATAAAATTAGCCAATCATTTTTGTTTTGTTTTTTTTTCTATCAACTTATGATGCGGGAATGCCTTGAATAAATGATCCAGCCGTAAAAATAGATTTTTTAGTTGTATGCACCGTTTGTAGACTGAATTGGTAGTAGTCATTGAGGTAAAAGTGATAAAGCATAAAACAAATCATAAAGATACAGTCGTCAAGTTTATGGAAAATTCGAGACAGCAATGTCGGAAGAAACTTGTTTTTTGATTGTGGAATCATCAAGACAATTTGTTATACCACTCCGTGACTTCTACATCACCGAGCTGGACTTGTAATCTCCCGCTCTCTTAGGATTTACAGCATTTTTACTCACAAGACCTCATCCCTATTTGTTCACAACGAATGAGTAGTTATTATACCGAAGGAGGGCAAACAAATATTCCTTCATCTACATTGGATATGGCAGAAAAGTCACAATGAGACTGTGGAGTATATTATTAAACATGGTGGGAATTCAGATCTTCTTCGTCGTGAACAAGCACCAATATATTATTGAGTTACGTGGTTGTGGTAATTGGACAACTCCTTATGCAATTTTGTTATATTATAGTCAGAAACAAAACCAGTTAGTGAAGTAGATTCAGCAAGAATATTTCATATAGATTGCTCTGATAATAGCTCAATTATTGTAATGTGAGGACTTCAGCCTTGAATTAGTTGTTCAAATTTTATCTGGTTAATTCAATTATTTTGCTTTGGCTTTACTTAACCTGGCCATCGTTTGGGTCTTAAATCTTGAATAATTTCTTCTTGCCTTCCAATTCTTTAAATTTGTTTTCACTTTGAGAAATATTTTACTTGTTCTCATTAAAATGTTCTAATTAATATTATTGCTGTTTCGGTTTACCAGTATCATTCTCTAGTTGCTGTTTGCTTGATCATCTCTAGCAAATTCTTCTTTGTTGTCTTTTTCTTTTTTTGAAAAGTTTTAAACACTCCCTTAGATAAAAATATTGAACACCCTAAAACAATTAATTGCAAAAATGTGCCATTTTAAAATACAAATGTGTCAAAAAATATGCATGCGAATTTCAAGTTTATATCATGTTTATGAAAAAAAACAAATTTGACCAAAAATATTACAACATTCACGCCACAAAAACGTACATAATAAAACACACCTGTCAAATGATAAATATAATTATCAGTTGATATTTTTGTTGACCATCCACTATTTGAATAACAGTTTCTATTCTCCTTAAACTTTTCAACGCCATCTCTTTCTGGATGTTCTAACTATATTTGTTCTGGCAAGGCTAAATGTATTAGAAATATATTATGTAATAACTTTTTATTTATTAATTTTTGATTTAGGCAACAAAAAAAAAATATTAGACTGACGTATATATAAAAAAATATATGACGGGTTTAGTTGATTAATTTGTTTTGGTTAATAAAATCGGGAGATTACGAATGTTCCAAACAACCGGCAATATAGGCCAAAAAGGGATCAATTTTTCAATTTTTTTTTCTCAACGAAATTTATAATTTATAAAATAATAAATAATTTATTAAATGGTAATAATGACCAATAATTATGACAATAATAATAATAATTAATAATCATTAATAAAATAAATATATAATTCACAGGAATTAAAAAACTAATTAATCATCATTATCCTCCTCATCATTATTTGATGATAATCTTGACAGTTTCCTTCTTGGTGTCTCAACATCTGTATTATTATTAGAATTATCTGTAGTAGTATTATAATTATTACCTTCACCAGTAGTTTCAAAGCCCGATTCATCATAATCTGTATTTTCTGGATTCATTGACTCCGAGTGTGACTATATAAAGAGGAAAGAAATAATTAGGAATTTGAAATTGTGGATTTTTTAAAACTTAAAAAAAATTCATAAAAGTTTACAGTTATAGAATCATTATCTGATATATTGCTTGACTCGTCATTGTTTGATACAAACTCAGATCCACCATTTTCCTCTTGCTCCTCCTCATCTTCATCAGGATGATTTCTTAATGTTTTCCTTTTACCATTTTGTTGAACTCCTAACCACCCAACATTATCAATTCCTTGCTCTTGGTGCCCATCAACACCACCATCATCATCATCATCATCACCACCATTATTATTAACACCACCATTATCATCATTATTGGCAACACCACCATTGTCGTTATATTTTATTGTTTTTAATGATGGTGATGAAGGATTTTTCCATTGAGAAACGATAATTTTCCATGAGAATATTGAAAAGAATATTTCCCAGAAGATAAATAATAAAATGAAGGCTATTCCAGTTGAGACATAATGATAATACATGAGATATCTGGAGTTTTTTTTTTGGAGTGAGTATTCAAATAAAATATTATTGAGGATAAATCACAAGTACGAATATATTTATTGTAAAGAGGTGTGTGTGTGAATACCTTAATCCTCTGAAATGTGCATCTAATTGTATATTTGCATTATAAACTTCTGGATTTTTATCTGGTATAGTAAGATATGCATGGGTCATTGGGTTATCCTAATAATAATAATTATTATTATATTAAAAAGTAAATTATTTTCCTGAACAATTAAATTTGTTTTGTGGTGGAATAGAAAGGAAAGAAACAAACTTACACCATTTTCAATAAAATTTTCAAACATTACAACTTTCAACTTTTGATCTTCCTTGACAAATCCCAAGACTAATGGAATTAATTTCCAAATTGTCGAAGTAATACGAAGTAATTTGGATTTATAAGTAAGTATACACTTTAAATAAAAATGATTATATATGTTAAAATAATATTGAATTAGAGAGTTTCATAAAAGAAAAAAAAATCATAAATTTGTATTTTTTGAGTATAATTACTGGTCGACCAGAAGACTGAATTGTATTATTATCCTTGGACTTCAACTCCAAATTAATCATAAAGTTGCCTATTAAAAATATTTTTCTTGTTATGATTATAATATACTAAAGCTTCTTATGAGCCAGATAACTTATTAAGCTTGCAATCTTATTAAATTATTCAATATATGTGTATACATACCCAAATCAATATTTCGATCTGATTCGGGAACATCCAAATCAATTGAAATATCATAAGCTTGATCTGCTGTTAGAAACTATGAAAAATAAAAAAATTATTATTAGAAATAAGAACCAAGAACAATAATAGAGTGATAATAAAACCTTGAGATAATTAATAATAACATACATCTGAATATAATCCATTTTCAGTGAAATCGATCATACTATGAATCAATTTGTCTTGACTATTTATCATAATGTAGAAAAACATGTAAACATTTTCCAAAACCATTTCCAAAAAAATTTCATATTAAACAAATACTTACTGATATTGTAAATGAACTGGTTTTGAGTGCGCGATTTTTGGAATATAGACATAATAAAATGCTATATATGAAAGGAATGCAAAACTTACTAATGTTGAAACTGCTACAAATATAAAAATAGATTTTATAGTAATTCGTTGAGCTTTTTGTGCTGAAAAAAGGTCAGCCAGACTATTCAAATATGGATCAATAATATTCCAAAATGGCGAGAAAAAGAATGATATTGCCTATCGATCATTAATGATTAATTGAAAAATTTAGCCTTCATTCTACAAATATTGTTAAGCTGACGACAATATTAATTCACGCATTATTAAATACCTTGAAAAGCATTTTTTAAGAGAAAATTAGTAAATTTTTAAAACATAATATAAAAAAAGTTTTCACGCGATAGACATATGAATATTTTATAATATTTATTTTTCTGTTGATATAAGGGTTGAACCCCAATTTCGTCTTTGAAGGGGGGATCTCAACAACGCATTGATTTAAATTACTAACTACATATAATTAAATTATTATTATTAATGTATTTTGTGTAAATTAAGAAAATTTTTTTCCTTTAATTATTATAATAGGTTTGTTTATAATGACTAGAAGAACAATTGCATTTATATATAAATAAATAATAGAATACATATAATGTATTTGTGAAAAAAATAAAAATACAATATACGAAAAGTATAAAGAATTTTTTTTTTGTGGTGCTCAGAAGAATTGCTATGCCACTATGCCACTCAGCAAAGTTTGGTCATATTGTGGATTAGGCTACTTTGGTCTTTACCTTTAGGTATAAGTCCAAAGTATTGAATTTTGCAGGTAATTGACCCAAAAGGGTGTGGTTATCTCGCAATATATTCAAAGTTTTTTTGTTTATCCCTTTTGAAATATTCTTTATACTCGCTCTACAACGAAAAAATTATATGATAAAAACGTTGGTTAGTAGTTTTTATGGAGCTTTTTTGGTAAAATTTTTTGGTAATAATAATTTGATTTTATTGCTTGTTATATTAGAAAACATGGATAAACGGTTTGCACAAACGACTAAACATCGATATTATAGATAATAAATGTATATATGTACAGAGATAGGAGGTAAAAATAGATTTATTTTTTACTGTTTGTTTATTCCTTGATTAACTTTTTTTCTTGTACGTCTATTATCAGTATTTAATAATGTTATTTTCCTATTATTTCAGTTATCAAATTATGCAAGTTCATTAAATTCATGATATAAATATCAAATTATTGTATTTTACAAATATGTTTATTTTACCATCTTCAAAAATCATCTTTTCACTATCTTTATCAACACAATATTCTTAACATTCACGTTTTTTCCTGCCTTTTTTTGGAAATCACATCAATCAATCAATCAATCAATCAATAATAATAATTATTGATGATGGACGATTTTGATCATTTATTACCTATTTAATTAAATGGTAAAATCTTTTCATTGATTAGTATTTTTGAATAACTAATTTTAAGAATTAATTTGCGCCTTACAATTTATTTATTAATTATTTTTTTATTTCTTTAATAAAAATTTAAATATTTCGTCATCTTTAACCTTGTTTCCATTAATTATTTCTCCGTCTTCACTATTATCTCCATTAAATACTTCATCGTCTTTTAAATTTATATTCATGTTCATAAATTATCTCATCATCTTTAAACATGCCCTTTACATTTTTTATTTTTTCCTTTCATTATCATCAACAACATCAACATCAACATCATCTACTACTACTTTTTCATTTTTTCCATTTTACCAACATCTTCAGGTACTCTAAATTCATCGCTTAAAAATTCATCTTTTAAAAATTCATCTTTTACTACTGCTATTTTTTTTTCTTTTTACCAACATCTTTAGATTCTTTAGATTCTTCTTCATCTTCATCTGCCTAGAACCTTTTTTTTTGTTTTTACTTTAAAAAATATATCAAAATTTTTTTTTGATTCTGGAATAAGTTTTTGTTGGTGTTCTTATGTTCCGTTGTACTTTGTAAGTAAATTTATCTCCTAATTGTAGTTAAACTCCTATATAAGAAAAGGAAAAGGCAAATATAGACGAGAATCAAAAGCAAGTTTGCAACTATATGGGACCTTTTCCAGCAAAAAAGGTCTTCCGCAGATTATGAGAAAATTAAAAATTGGTTATACGACAAAACTTAACTCAAAGAAACCCTTTGTTACCCAATTACTCATTTTTTTCTACTAAGCAAACAGGCCTAATATTTTCATCGATTATAATCTTTATGTTATAGATTAATATTATGTAGACACAAGCTTGGTCAGATGACCTCGGAAGCAGTTTTCAATTTTAGACTTGTGCAAATTATTTTAAAAAAGTATCCGGCCTACAATTAGCAAGCAGGGGTATAATATTTTCATTAATAATAATAATAACTTTTATATTATTATATAGATTAATATTATGTAAAAAACACAAATTTGGTCAGATGACCTCGGATATGTTTTTACTATTACTGGAAAAGGTCACATATTTCAATTGTTAAAGTAGTAGTAACCTTTTGGATTGATGAACGATCTATTATACATAGATTCATTGAACTTTCGATCTTGGATGTGTTGCTTCCCAGTTTCAAATTCTAGCCAAATAAATTAACTAAAAAATAATGAGTAAAAGCATATTTTAAACTATGATACTTTTCATCATCACACGAAGGAGATATTTTTACTACAAGCAAAATCCGTTCTTTACAGGAAGTCTCTATGTTCAATGCTTGTACGTATACATTTTGAAGTTTTATTGTCAAGAGAATTTTATAGAAAGTATAAATCTATATTAAACCCACCCAACGCTAACTTAGTAGCTTGGTATATACAAAAAGGCATACTCATATATGAGTCATCAAATGAAGAAAATAGTTGAGTAATACCTATGAGATTTATCAAAAGAGCAGGAAAAAAACAAAACTATTATAAGAATAAAATAGCTTCTGAAAAGATTGTCAAACTTGATTCATTGCTTTACTTAAATTCTAATTATCGTATTTATTTCATGATTGGTTATAGTTGAGTATGTAAATTACTTTTCAACATCCTGTGTTGGCTTTGGATAGATTATGTCTTTAAATTTATTTTTGAATAATGGGTGGATATTATTATAAAGATATTTTGGCACGGCTGATTAATTACTCCATTTTATTGCTTTGTAAGGTAATGGGTGTCGATATTGGAGATGACAAAGCTTTAATTTCTTTTATAACCTTGAAATTTCAAAAAAAAGACTCCTTGGCATCTTGAACCTTATAACGCCAAGATTAGAAGCTTCAGAAAGAAAATATTGGGAATTGTGATTGCCATTTTAACATTAGATAACCTTGATTTAATATCAAATATCGAAAGACTTTCCTTGCTTCATAACATTTGAGTTTTTTTCAACCCAGCAATATTAGTTATCTACATTTTAAATGCCACTAATTTGTATGTCCCAATTATCTATAAAACAAAAAAAAAAAAACATTATAATAAAAGCTACTTTATAATAGCAAATTTTGTATTTTAAATTCTTTATTTTAAACCTTTCCATTATTTCAGAAACTGTCCAATAAGATTTTGCAATCCATTGTTAAAGAAAGATGTTTCACAAAAAGCACTTTTAAAAAAAATGTATTCAGACGATGTTAATCTAATCGTATTTGATCCACCTTTATGGAGACAAAGACGTGCTACTGTTAATGATGAGCTGTTAAAAAATAACATCACTTCGGTATTTATTATTATTATAATAATTTGTTTGTTTTTCATTGAATAAGGTGTTAGTTGATAATAAAAATGAGTTTTTTTGTTAGGTTTTTGATTTTGGTTGTGGGGAAGGCTCACTTCTTTCTTTTCTCGTACAACCTGACGATGAAACACCTATAACACGTCTCGCAGGCCTTGATATTGATGAAAATATTCTTGACGCAGCAATAGAAAATTGTTTACCTTGGGAGCAAGATATTGAATTTTTAAGAATAACTCCATTAACAATAGATTTGTACCGAGGTTTTAGATTGGATGATTTTTAAATTATTTTAATTATTGATTTTTTTTTTTTTTAGGAGAAAATTTTTTTATTAATTGATCGATATTTATTGTAAAAAATTTAGGAAGTATTGATGTTGCAGATGAACGATTAATTGGATTTGAAGCTTTGGTTTGTATGGAAGTGTATGTATAAAGTTTATTATCAAAATATGTATATATATATATATAGATATATGAAATTATTTTCATTATTATTTAATTATTTATATACCAGCTTATTTATGAATTGTTTTTTACAAGAATAGAGCATGTTGACCCGCCAGTGTTAGATAAATTCTTTGATGTGGTATTTGGAACTTACAAACCAAAGCTAGTGATAGTGACTACACCAAATGTAGAATTTAATATATATTTCCCTCAATTAAAATATGGCACTTCAGAGGCAACTTTGAGAATTGAAGATCATCGATTTGAATGGACAAGACAAGAATTTCAAGATTGGTAATTTATTAAATATCTAAATCTAAATCGATGTATATGAATATTAATAATATGCATATTAAATTTTTTTAAAAAGGTGTAATTCTGGTGCTTCCAAATACAATTATTCAGTGGAATTTACAGGAGTTGGTAGATTGAAAACCAGTGATCCAGCAGTAGGATTTGCCACACAGATTGCTATATTTAAAGATTTACTAACAGGCTCAAAACCTATGTTGTCTACCTTTGATAGAAAATACGAACATGTTAAACACATAGAATTTCCTTTTTATGAAGAGCCTGAAAAAAGTGTTCCGGAAATACTTGAAGTGATTCATTATTACATGAAATATTTGTGTAATCAAATAAAATATTATGTTAGTGATGATGATGATGATTACTACAACGATGATGGTGAAAATGGAAAACTAGATGAAAATCAAGTTAATCTAAGTGAGTTATGGAATATTCACCGAATAAGGCAACTCTGTAAAAGTAAAGATAAATTAAGAGATATAATTTCAACTTGTGATGATTTTACATTATTGGATAAAAACAGAATCTTGGTTCATAGAAAATATGAAATAGAAGTATTTAATAATGGTAATAATGAAGAAGAATGGAAATTCAACAACAACAACAACAACAACGACAACAACAACAACAACAATAATAGCGAAGACGGTTACAACAAATTTGAAGAGCAACAACAATGGAGCTCGCCACTGCCGACTATTTGGAATGATTGTGATGATTATTGGAAAAATGATGATGATGAAAATGACGAAAACAACAATAGTCAAAGAGATCAAAATGAAATAAATTGGGTTTTATAGAATAAGTGTGTATGCGCAATTTTTTTGTAATTTGTAAACATAATAAAAAAATCTTTGATACGATCCAATCTTTTATTTAATTCAGATACTATCTTCATTATTGACACAAAATCATCTATATCATTGTGTTCGTTAACTGAACAGGATTCATCCAAAGATTCTACTTGATCTTTTGGTAATATTATCAATAAAAAATTCAAATAGCCATTCTGAATATTTTTCTTGAACGAGTTGCTTTGTTATATCTTTTATTTGTGTCAAGATTTTTGTTAGCATAAAGTTCAATATCATTTCTTGTATGAATAACAAATAATCAATTTTTTGCCGTAGATGAATGAATGAATGGGATTCCTTGGGTCTTTGAATTTTGCCAAGGGTGTTTCGATTTATACTTTTCCGAAAGTTTTGAATGGAACTGATAAAATAAAGCTATGTTTCACAATTTTACATCTACAAATAAAGAATTGCATCGATTTTAAGATAAGAATAATAAGCTAAATAATAAAATTTTAAATTAGATTCATTGATTAATCAATCTGTCCATTAAAAAAATTTTTGAAGGCAGTTAACATTAACGTTAACATCAACATTAACGTTGATATTGACATTGACATAACATTAACATCAAGCCAAGTTAATACTCTATCGATATACTATATTTTCGTAATATTTGAAAATTCTTTTTGCCTTCTAAAGAAAAAAAACCTAAAAAGCTTATATGAAAAATGTTGTTGCACTAAATTAATTTTTGTTCTTTCTTCTTGATGATGATGATTGATGATCAAGGATTTAATTTATTTGATTATTATAAATATTTAAAAAAAAAAAATGTCATCAAAAAGATTAGCTGATGTTTACGGTATTTACAATTCTTGTACAAATGTAACATCAAACATCTTGAAAATTCAACGAAAGAATGCAGAAATTTTTATAAAGACATCCAATTGGAAATGGTCAATAAATCATCTGCAAAAACCGCCAAATTATAATAAATCAGATGATGAAAAAATATTTGAAATAGAAGAAAAAGAAAATAAAATTGATGTTAATGTTGTTGATAATAGTTTAGATATTGATAATAATAATCCATCAGATCAGGTAAATATATGTTTCGTAAATCATGAATTCTTTCGAATATGAATTTTTATTGCAAATATAATAATTAATTGTTTCAAAGATACATAAAAATGTTCTCAAAGAATCAAAAATCCCAACAACAAGAATCGGTAGATTATTTCATTATGGTGGTAAGTAAATTGAATTAATAATATTGATTTGAGAAAGAGGGAGGAAATTAAGAATCTATAATGTAACTTTTTAAATGATCAATTATCTATCTGTTCATATCATAGGTTTGGCTGTAGGGATAGGAATTGGCGCAGCAGGTGAAACCTTAAGAAGAGTGACAGGAAATTCAAAATCTCAAGGTTTTTAATTGATTATTTATTATTTTATTATTATTATTCATCAGAGATTAGAATTTAAATCTTGAAAATTTAATATTTATCGCCATTGTTAATCGTCATTATCATATATATAAGATGGTTCTGTGTTAATAAATGAGGCAAATATTAATCGTCTGGTTAATAGATTGTCCAGAATGAGAGGTGCAGCTTTGAAATTAGGACAAATGTTGAGTATTCAAGGTAGAGTAAACGAATTTAAAAACCATAATAAAAAGAAAAGCGAAATTAAAAAAAGGATTGAACCATCTAAATAGTAATAATCTGTAGATAATGATATGTTACCGGAACAATTGGAAAACTTACTTTTACGACTTCAAAATAGTGCTAATTACATGCCTAATTGGCAAATGGAGGTTTGTTTGTAAAATTAGTTTAAAAAGGGGGTTTTCTAAATTTTCTGATTATTTCAAAGAATATTCGCACAATTTTAGAAAGTGATGGCGAAAGAATTGGGTAAACATTGGCGCCAATATTTTATGAAATTTAATCAAATACCAATTGCAGCAGCATCAATTGGACAAGTACACAGTGCAGAATTGATAGATTCCAAGATTCCAGTGGCCATAAAGGTTCAATACCCAGGTGTTGTTGAATCAATTGATTCAGATTTAAAAAATCTAAGAACTTTAGTCATATTAAGTAATTTATTACCCAAAGGACTTTACCTTGAGAATACAATTAAAGTGGCTAGAAGAGAATTGGCGTGGGAAACTGATTATGTGAGAGAAGCTGAATGTATGGAGAAGTTTGATGAGTTATTGAAAGATGATAAAGATTTTGTTGTACCAAAAGTTTATAAAAATTTATCAGGAAATATGGTGTTAACGTCTGAACGAATGATGGGCGAACCATTGGCATATGCTAATAATTATAGTCAAGAATTGAAAGATCAAGTTAGTGCGTATATATGTGTGTGTTTGTTATTGTATATTTATATTTATTATATTTATATAAATAATATATATTTTTGTAGATAGGGGAAAGTTTTTTAAGATTATGTTTACGTGAATTATTTGAATTTAGATTCATGCAAACTGATCCAAATTGGACAAATTTTTTTTATAACAAAAAAACAAGAAAGGTAATTTAATTTGATAATTTATCATATTTAATAGTTGTTCATAAAATAATTGATTGATTAATATGATAAATATTAAAATAAACAGATTGAATTGATTGATTTTGGTGCAAGTAGAAGTTTTGATCAAAAATTCACTGATTTATATTTGCAGATTTTAAAAGCTGCAATCAAAGGAAACAAAGAAGATTGTATACATTATTCTGAACAATTAGGATTTCTAACCGGATATGAGACTGAGGTAACATGTAGTATATGATACTTATGATATATATGATATGTATGATAATTATTGCACAAGAAAATAGAACAAACAAAATTTTTTTATAATTATTTATTAGGCAATGAAAGATGCACATGTTGAATCAATATTAACATTAGGAGAACCATTTACAAAATCATTATATGATTTCTCAAAACAAACTATTACTCACAGAGTCAGGAATCTGATACCAACAATGTTAAAATATAGATTAACACCACCACCTGATGAAACTTATAGCCTACATAGAAAATTATCCGGCGCTTTTCTATTATGTGCTAAATTAAACTCAAAAGTAAGATGTAGAAATATTTTTGAAGAAATTGTTGGGGAAATTTAAATTATTGTATCTGGTATCGATTTTTAATTGGTCAAAGAATAATTATATTAAATAAAGTTAGCAGTGTAACATTCGTTTACATAATAAAATAACGTTGATTGATAACAAATTTTTTCATGAAAAAATGTCTACTATTACTAAAATTGAAAACCATGAAAATGCTTCAAAAGAAATAATGGCAAATCAAGATTTTGCCGAAGAAAATATTTCAGACGATAAAAATGATAACGAAGTAACCGCAGCAACAGGGGGAGGAACAACAACATCGGAAAAATCAAAAATAGAAAAGATATTGCCGCGTGATGAATGGAGAAAACTTAAAAAGAAACTACAAAAGAAAGATCAAAGAATAAAATTAGCAATAGCAAGAAGAAAAAATAAGGAATTAGAGGAAGCCGATTCAATGGCAGGAGAAGAAAAATCAAATGAAAAAGAAATAAAAAGGTATCTAATAAAATCAATTGCTATTAGTTAGATATATATGTGTGACATATATATGAACGTCATTTATTAATATGCATATGCATATGCATATACATTCAATTAAATTAAAGAAATCTTGAAAGAATATTATGGGAAGTAAAAGAGAAACAAATTGAACAAGCAAATGCCGAAAAAAAGAAGAAACATGAAGAGGAGGAGAAAAGAAAGAAAATAATACAAGTAATATTAATATCAATATTAGATAGTAATATTAATATCAATAATGATTGCAATATTAATTGTTGAATTTTTAATTAAATCTAATTAATTATGTAGGAAAATTGGGAAAAAACAGTTAAAAATATAAAAATTGCAGAACCCACGCTTCTCAATGCTACTAATAAGATTATCAACACACCAACATCAACTGTAGATAATAATCCATCTTTGAATGACGAGGATACATCAATGAAATCAGATTATGGTACAGAAAAAGTATTGTACCCTATAAATAAACCAATCAATCTATTAATCAATATAATATTTTATTTAATAATATAATATTAATTTTTAACAATATACATACATCTATTACATTTATAAATTTCATATAACACATGAACTTGTAAATTTATTTAATAACCATCATGACTATTATATTAGGATCAAATAAATTGTCCATTCTACATTAAAACTGGAGCTTGTAGATATGGAGAACAATGTGGTAGAATTCATCCATATCCAGAAATAAGTAATACTATTCTAATTAAAAATATGTATGAAGGGATGCCAATTCAGTTAGCAGACGAAGATAATGATGATAATTTGGAGGTAATGATAAATAACAGATGTATAATTGAACAAATCAAATGATACTTTATGAATCATTCTTCATATCCTTTATAATTTTAATTGTTTAAATTATATTTTTTCAATATTTTAATAATTTATTATCACAATCATCATTATTAAAAATCAAGAATGTAATGTTAAAAAAATGGAAAAAAGGAAAGATGTTGTTGTTATTGTATCTTTTATAAAATATATGCAAAAATATTGTATATATATATATATATATATTTATATATATATATATCTGTTTTTTCAAAAAAAATATTTCCTTGACTTATTATTATTATCATCATTATCATCATTATTATTATTGGGATATTTAATAATCAATAATATATACATATTATTTATTTATATAGTATGATGAGATAGAAGCTGAACGACATTATCTAGAATTCTTTGACGATGTTCACAATGAATTTAAACAATACGGAACAATCATTCAATTTAAGGTTAGAATAATTATATCTAATAGAAGATATATGTATATACACACTGTATTTACTTTGGATATAAAGATTTAACACATACATATATATAATTATATTAGGTTTGTAATAATTTTCAAATGCATTTACGTGGCAATGTGTATATTCAATATTCAAATCATGAAGAGGCAAAAAAAGCATTAGAATCTATAAATGGAAGATGGTATGCTGGTAAACAATTAAGATATGAGTTTTGTCCTGTTACAAAATGGAAACCTGCAATATGTGGTATGTAATCATATAATAATAACACTAGTGTGTATTATTTAAAATTAATATATATACATATATTTAATAACAAACAATAGGATTCTATCAAAATAACAAGTGTCCAAAAGGCATTAACTGTAATTTTCTACATGTTTATAAAAATCCTGGAAATTTATATGTTGATGCTGATAAAGATCTTACTATTAATAACTTGGATCATTATCATCATAAATATCATGATAGAAATAATAATAATAATAATAATAATAATAATAATAATCATTACGATAAAAGAAAAGATTATAAGGATAAGAAAAGGAGGAGAAGTAGTAGTAGCAGTAGTGATAACATCAATAATAAGAATAGTAGGAGTACTAAGCATAAGAGTCATGAAAACAAAGATAAAGTTTCATCACCTGTTTACACCCCAAAATCACCAAATTTCTCTTCGATTGGATTATCGAAAATCGATGAAATTAATATTTAAATAAAGGTATATATTGTGTCTTGCATGTAACTTTTCGCTCGTAAGAAAAAAAAAGAAAAAAGAAAATTCCGTGCTAGGTTTAGTTTTGCGTAATTCTGGTAAACAAGGGTCATAGGACACATTTATTATTACACTTGATTTTATTTTATTTTATTTAAATATAATAAATTTACAAAGTAAATCAAATCATTAAATTCTAACTATCAGGCTCGATCGTGACACCTTTTTTAATCTTTCCCCATCCAATTAATCTAGTTCACAATCCAAGGAAAAATATTGATATTATTATTATTATTAAAAGATTTTCAATTATATTTAACCAATCAATATATCAGTATATAATATATGTATAAATAATTAAATACCTCCAATGTTTATCAATTCTTCTAGATAAAGCAATTTTTTCCTCGATTTCAGTACAAGCCGGACTTGTCAACTGAATTCTTGCCATATCAGTTTTTACATTCAACACACGTCCACCTGTTGAAGTTGAACCTATATTAACCATCAATACCTCACTTTTTGTTAATTTACTAACCTGAATATAAATTAATATAAATTAGTGTATATATATAAATACATATAAATTAACATTAATTGATTTATAAATAAGGTTACTTTTGTCTGTTTTTTATCGTCAGTTTTAACACCTAATAACCTTCTCAACAAGAAATAATTAATTTCAAGTTCTGTGTAAATTTGTGGAAGTTTACCAACAGATCCTAATACTTGACCAACTAAACGATCAGCTCTACAAAGCGTAGGGTCAATTTTGGTACCAACACCTATTATTATAATAATAATAATAATAATTATAATTATTATATAAATATTATAAATAATATATTTTTTTTATCTAAAGGTAAAAACATATTACCAATCAATCCACCAGGTACAGCAAATTTTAAATCATTATGCTCAGCAAATAAAGAAACAATTCTTGAAAAAATAGGTTTACAGTGTATTTTCCCCTCATTATCTTTTGTAAGAATGCCCGGTCTTACCTCAATTTCATCGCCAACCTTTAAAATGAAATTTAATTAATAATTTAGCTATATATAATTTTTTCATCAGAACAGAAGCAGCTGATTACCTTTAAAACACCACATAATAATGAACCACCCGCAACACCACCTTTGAGTTCGTTGACTTCTGCACCTGGTTTATTTACGTCAAATGAACGAATCACAATTAATCGAGGATCAGATGTAAAGTCGCGTATTGGGATGGGAATTTTCTTGACGATATATTCATTAATAACATCAATGTTATATTTTAATTGTGCCGATATTGGAACTATTGGCGCGCCATCAGCAACGGTTCCTTTATATGATTATATAAATTAATATCTAATTCGTATGATAATACAATAATAATAATAATAATAGTAATTAAAAAAGATTTAATAAGATTAATTTACCTTTTACAAAAGATAATATGCTTTCGTAATGCTCTTCACATGCACTTTCTTTACATAAATCAACTTTATTTTGTAAAATTATGATATTTTTAAGCTTCATTATTTCAATTGCTGCAAGATGTTCACTTGTTTGTGGTTGTGGACATGATTCATTTCCTGCAATTAATAGAAGAGCTGCATCCATAACAGCTGCACCATTCAACATGGTAGCCATAAGAATATCGTGACCAGGACAATCTACAAATGAAACATGACTATTTAAAAAAAAGAAAGTAAATACCAATTATGAAAATGTAAATAATAATAATAGGTTTTGTTATTATTACATAAGACCATACCGTAACAATTTCATTTTCCCGCCACATCCAGCTCTTTCACACAATGGATGTTCCTCCTTATCACTTCGATACGATTTGTAACACCCAGGTCTGAGACATTCTTCATTTTCACATTTATAAACCTTTTTATGAAAAAAAAAAAAGTTATTTATTTATTTTACAAATAATTAATCGATCAAAATAATTAAATCTCCGATTGATGAATATTGGTTAATTACCTTTGCATTAGCATATCCTAATTTTATGGTGATATTACGTTCAAGTTCGTTCTTGAAACGTACAGTCTAATTTTGATTTTTTTTTTTTTTTTATAATATAAATCTATAAAATTGTAAACAAAAATATAAAACTTGGAAAGTTCTTTTCATAAACATGCAAAATGATACTCACTTGAACACCAGAGATCGCTTTCACAACAGTGGATTTTCCATGAGCCACGTGTCCAATAGTACCTATTTAATTATTTTTCCCCAGAGTTGATTTTTATTTTTAATAGTTAAAAAAAATAATTTCATTTAATCATTAAAGCATAATGTGAATTTCATAAATTAAATACCAATGTTAATAGTTGCTTGTCTTGAAATGACTTCAGGAGAAAGTGGATTTAGTGTTGCGGGATCTACTTCGACTATTTCAATTTTTTCTTCAGCAGCAGTTGCCATAATTTTTTTGTTTGCAAAATGCAAAAAAAAAAGATACTATATATCAAAAAATTTACATATTAACCGCAATTTTTATTTATCATGTGATTTTTTAAAAATGGAGTCATGTGATTCTCCAAGGATAAAAAACTGACATCATGGTGTTCGTGTACAGTTTAACGGACCGAGAAGTTTATATGTCATATATATATATTAAGTCCTTACTATCTATATATAACGTATTATCTCTATACCAGAGATTTTTTCTTAAGCCAAATGGTCTGCTATAGAGAGAGTGAACTGTAAAGTCAAAGTCATAATAATAATTTTTGATTCTTTACCAACGAGATCACAAGGTAAGCGATATATCAGTCAATATTAGGCTTATTAGACTCTATAAGAATAGCCTTACTCATGTGCGAATCTAAAATATTAAAATTTAAAATCAAGATTTTTCCAGAAATGTTGTGAGTTGAGGAGAGAGATCAATAACAAGATAATAATATCTTTATTGAACAATTTATATCTAAACAAAGATCACTACAATAGAGTAACTCTAGTTGGCGCGTATATTTAACACAAATTTATAAAGGTAACGAATTTATTTTTCCTTTCTTTCAAGTGTCATTTCACGAATTGTAAAAATTAAATTTACAAAATAAAAAATAAAAGATTATTTTACCTCTTGTACCAAGTCTACATCCTCCTCGCCTTTGGAATTTTTTACTAATGTGCAATTCTTTTTTTTCTATCACAAAAATTAGAGACCACTACATTTTTTTTCACACCTTAGACGTGCTTTTCGACATTGGTCACAGTGATAGACAAGACACTGGTATGTTGTTGTTATATTTGTTGTTTGTTGTGTTATTGTTGTTATTGTTGTTGCACTTGTATATTTGAACGAAACACTTTTTTTTTTTAAATTAATTCCTGTTTGGTATATAACAAATAAAATCTCGATCCCGTTCTAGGATGTTCTAGAATTCAATTATTATAAATACATGTTAGGAGAAAACTTAAACAAATTTATTTTTTAAAAACGAGTTCAATTGAGAACAAGATATCTTTGAAAAGAACCAACAAGAAGACCACAAGAAAGTTGCTTATTTATGGACAAATATGATGATGACCAAGGGTTGATCCAGCATAAAGACCCATAAATTTGGTGATGAAGTGGAAGAAGAAAGGTTTGATATTAGAATTATTGGCAGATCCATTAGTTGACCAAATATGAACAAGTTTTCTAACTATTGTCTTTTTTTTTCCTTCATAAAAGGGACGATTATTTAATATTATAATAATGATTAGTTAGCCTGACTTTTATAATTCAGGGAGAGTGTCATACATGCATTGAAACTTTGTGTCTTTTTAACAGTCTCATCCATAGAAACCGCCGCTAGTTCTGAAGATGACAAAACACATTTGTCAAATAGAGCTGAAGCAGATGTCATAAAAAATTACGCGATACAACAGGGTCGCTTAATTATTTTCCACAATCCAAGTAAGCGATTAAACTCGAAGAGAAAAAAAAAATTTGAAACATATTATTTATGTGAAACTTATTATTATAATATTTATCAGAAAGATTTCATTTGATCATTTGACGTAAATATAATGAGTTGAATATATGATGAATGAATGAATCAATGTATAGATGAATGAATGGATGGATGAATGAATGAATGAATGAATGAGTAAATGGACAACAATAAATAACAACATTGGTCCCTGCAAATCCAAACAACATATACAGCAAACAGTATCAACCATAATTTATACAGTCCAATAATGATAATATTACCTGCTAATCCAAATAACGAAAATTTATTTTATTCCGGGAAAATTATTTAATTAATTAAATGAAAAAAAGTGTAAAATTAAAAAAAAAAAATTTTACTAATTGTCATTATTTGTAAAACAATAACAATAAGTATAAATAATTATGAATTAAAAGATTTTTTTCTCACATCATTTAGTTGGAAGAGTACAAGAGAGACCATTATAAATTTTGTTATTTTTTATAGTTGTAATTTCTCCAAATTATAAAAAATATATTCCTTTTTTCTCCACAATCTAACTTGCCAAGTTTATATAATATGACGTGCTGTAAGGACGATTATTAATAATACCAATCAAAGTTAAATAAATTTTTTGCTTCCCCACAATTGACTTTATATGGATATTTAACAAAATATAATATATGCAGTTTAAAAGAAAAAAATTTATTGTAATTGTATATTTTAATAATAATTATTATCTTACATTATATACAACTTTCTTATTTGTTCATTTATTCATTCATATTCATTTTCTATTTTCTTATTATTATTGTATAAAGAGAGAGTAGGATGGAGACATATAAAAATTGATTACTAAATCATGACAAATAATATCTATCACAGCGTAATTGATTATTTAACAAATATCTTTCCCTTTTGTGAAAATTTGTTAAAATGTACAACAAATAACACATAAATTTCATTAATTAATTGTATATATGTATATACGCACAACAGGTAAATAAAGAAAATCGGATTAAAAGAAATTTTAAAGTTTTTTTTTTTTTAAGGTTTTATATTGCGTTGTGTAACTGCCAAGTTGTATGCAAATAAATGATTTATTTGGAAATAGTGATGTCAAAAATTTGATAAACAACAAACAGGTTTAAATGATTAATCGAATCACAATCAATCCGGGTTTTAATTTAAAAAAAAAAAAAATAAAGTACGAGACCCACACGGATACAACAATATAAACATTAAATAATCATAGAAAATTTGGTAATAAAATTATATAATAATTATAATAAAGCAATTATTGGTGGCCAAACAATATTTTTTTAAAAATTTTTTTTTTTCATTAGTACATTTTTACACGACATTAATGTTTGTTTCGCGTATCTGTAATTTATCATATCGAAAGGCGAGAAAGCGAATGACTGAAAAAGAGTGAATAAAGCCAAGCGAATTGAAAATTAAAAAGAATCGACTAGAGTTGTTAGTGTCTGTTAGCGCTGCCCAAAGATAGACACCGTATAAATGTGGAGCACCCATTATCAGTACAAAAATGTATTACAGATATCTTTTTTTAGAAATAATTAGTTCAAACTGCTAAAATTAATTAACAACCACTTATTATTAACAATTGGAATGAAAACGCCACTTTATCATTTTTTAGGTAAAATTAAATAAATTTGGAGATGATAATTAAGGCGACAAAGCAGGGGACGGCGATGAAAGACAATTGATAAAAGTTAATAGAAATCTTTGCCATTATATGTGAGTGATATGCATAGTATTTTTTTTTTATTTTCTATATTTTCCATTCTATATACCATAACTAGCATATAATAAATATATGCTCCTTATTTGACGACTCAATTTCAATAATTATGTAATTAAATATTTATATGCATAATTTTATAATTTCATACGCAACAAATTTATTTTAAATTTCCCGATTTTTTTTATCGTCGTCGTCATCGTCATCGTCATCGTCATCGACATCTTATATTTTTTTCGCGTGTGTGCGTTTTGCATTTTTACGACTGATTTTTGAGATGGGGTTTTTTACGATGAATATTTTTGTGTGTAATTTTTCTGATATATAAAAAATTTTTTTTTTTTGTGATGCATGTAAATGCATGGTAAAGTGTGGAATAAAATTGTATTAAGATTTTTAAAAAGTCGGTAAATAATTAATTACATAATTATTACAATACACAAGCACAAATAATGCACAAACAAACAAACAATAAATAAATAAACTCACGTACAAATAATGTCACAATGTACGCATCATTTTTCCCAAGATCTCTTGTAAATCATCATTATCAGCAGGTTACTTTTAACATTGTTGTGTATATTGTTATGTCGTATAAAGATTGTAAAATGATAGAATCACGCGCACTGTTTTGATTTGGGTTTGACAGCCGAATTAGATTTTATAATTATTGGATTTACAGTTGGTTGGTTTGAGCAGATTTTGAAAAATAAACAAGTTGACAAAAATTCCAATACTCACGGTTCAAAATTGGTTAGAAGGGGGTGTTTTTGTTATACTGCATAACTGGCAACAATTAACAATTTATATAATCATAAACAAAACACACAGACATTTTCTATAAATTACCACGCGAAACAGAATGATATTAAATAATCTTAATAATCTTTAAATAAAATATTAATAATCTTAATAATGTAAATAATAAAATAACATATTAAATTAATCAATCTTTTTTCCTTATTACTAAATAAAAACAACTTTTATTATATTATAATAATCTTCGTCTTTTATTTTTTTTGTTTTGTTTGTTTGTTTGTTTTCGTTATTTTTTTCGTAGTTCCCAACCATTAATTCGTTCGTTCATTTTCATTCGTTCATTCGTTCGTTAATTTACTAGTTTATCTTTCATTCATTCATTCATTCAATCATTCATTCATACTTTCTTTCTTTCTTTCTTTCTAAATCATAAAAATTAACGACAAAAAAATAAAGATAATTGATGTTAGACGTACGTGCACACAATTCATTGTGATAAAAAATTGGTCAGTGTCCTTGTGACATGATGATTATTTTCAGGGGTAAACAATTTCGCCAGTAAAATTAATTGTTAAATAATATTTATTTGGTAAATAAAAAGAGCACCGACCAACTCTTTTTTTCGAAACGAAACACAGGAATAAAGATGGTCAATTTAAGAAATTGGTAAATTTTAATTGGTTTAACTGATTACCAAGTCTTTATTACTAAATGCTTGGTTGATTATTTGATCGAATCCATCATATTGTTTTGATTAGAAAAGGCATATAACAATATAAAATATATAATATACATAATATACCTGCTGCACCGTATATGTAATAATATGTAATAATGATCTAGACCTGCTCTGTAGATCACATGTGAGGTCTGTTCTCAAATAGATAAACAACACACGCACGCGTGAGTGTGTGTGCGTGTGTGTTTGAAAAAGAGAATGTATTTCGAGCAAAAGAAATCGATTCATAATTGGTTGATTATATATTATTTACTATTTATTTTTATTTATTATATTTAATTTAGGTCAAGTTTTTATTTTTTCCTAAAACAACACATTTTCATGTTTTATTTTGTTCTTTTTCAAAGCAAAAAAAAAAAGGTTTCGTAGTTGTTTTATCATCCTCATGCTAATTAATGTCTTTTGTGTTTATTTTTATTATGAATTAAAAAAATTTATTTTCTCGATTGAGTAACTGTATTAATCGTTATCTTAATGTGGGAGAATTAATTGGTCCCAAAAAGTAACGAATATATATAACAAATGAAATCATCTTTCTTTCTAAAAAAATACTTTCTTTCTAAATGTAAATAAAAAATAATGATGATTTATTTATTTTTTGTCAATAAGGTAAATGAATAGTTTGTAACTTTATTGTTTGTGTTATATATATATATATATGCATTGAGAATGATCTTCACCCAATCCCTTTTCCACATGGTTTTTTAAAAAAAAAGAGACCCATTTTCTACTTCGTTACCCACGTATTTCATATACATCATAATTCCCCCATCATAACTATAATTTTATATGACGTGCTCATGCCCATATCATATGCTACATAATACATGTATGTAATTCTTATTTAACCAATCAACCAATCAACCACAACTATTAGAGTCGGTAAGCACATATATAATATTTTCATCAAAATCATGAATGAATATTGCATTAATTTACATGGTGTATAACCGGTTAATTGGTTTATTAAATAATATAATAATATATATTGATTATACATACTATGTAATATATATATGTTACCCTGAAATGACTTATTTGTATATGTGAGAGAGTATATGCGTGCTTGAATAAATTTTTAAACCTGACAATCTTATGGTTAGGTTTTTTTTTTAATAAAATTCCCCCACAATCTTTTTTTTTTTTTTTTTTTTTTTTTTTTTAAAAGAATGAAACAATTGGTTGTCGTACTTGATAATAAAATAAATAGTATATTACATGAATCGTTTATGAGAAATAAATCAAAGGAAATTATAACTCGCATTCACACACACACACAAAATATTATAACACAAGCTATTAATTGACTAATTATATATTTTTCACGTTCGTTCATCGATCGATCGGTAAAATCAAATCCACAAAATGTGTATATTGTGTGATTGCGTTATAATGACGAATGGACCTGGTGAATCGTTTTCATATGATTTCAACTTATTTTATTTGGAGAAAGATTTTCTTACGATGAGGTTTTTTTGAATAGAGGCCGTTTATCTGGATCGGTCGTTGATTTCTAAAGTTGAATAAATGTGATAATTTAAGTAATAATTTTTTGTGGATATCTTTATTTATCATATATAATCAGCATTTTGGCATATGACTTTTTTATGTTTATTTTTATTTGGAATTAAACCAAAAATTCGGGAAACAAGAAATAATTTTTTAAAAAAAAAAATTAATTAATTAGTTGGATGGTTAGTTGTTAAAGTTGGTTGGTTAGTTGATTAGTTAATTAAATTAATTAATTAATTAATTAATTAGTTGATTATTAGTAATCAACTATACAACAGCTAAACCAAAGTAATTGCAATAATAGTAAAGAGGTTGTCGGGATGAGGGATGATGATGGATCATGGGATGGGATGGGAGAGAGATAATGAATAGATAGATTGATGACGATAATGAATATGGTGTAATTAATTGATAAATGATGATAATAGGGTGAGTGGTGAGTGAATTGATAAATATTTTTATTTATCATTTTATTATTATTAACGAGAATGAGTGAATGAATGAATGAAAGTATTAATCTCACCTTCTAAATATAGAATGAAATAGAAACCTTACTTACTGCCTGCCACGCTATTTAGTATTAATCACCGCCACCCAATTTTTAAATGGATCAATTTGTCTTACCCCTGGTTTAAAAAAAGGGTTTTTTTTTATTGTATAAAAAATTAATATATTATGATAATATAATAAACTATTATTTTATATATAATTGATATTTTTCCCACCTTTTTTTTTTAATTTAAAAATAAATAAATAGAATAAAATAAATAAATAAATAAATAAATAAATAAATAAATAAATAATAATAATAAAGTAAATTATTTTATATTAAAAAATAAAATAAAAAGAGAAAAAAACTAATGGTAAGGTATTGTTTATATTAATTAAATTTTATATAAAGACCCAATTTTTTCGAAAACAAAAAAAAACAAATTAAATTTCTTCAAAAAAAAAATAATACAAAAATAAATAATATAAAGAAACGTATACAATAAAAAATAAATCTTTTTAACGAATAGTCAGTCTATTATTAATTTCAACTTTTTTTCTTTATATATATATTCCTTTATTTCTTCTCTTGTTAGTATTTTTTTTTAATTCTTAATTAATTATTATCATTACATCTCTTTACATTTAACAATTCAAACCTTTTTATAATTGGAAAAAAAATCCAATCATACATTTCTGGACAATCCATTTTTATTGATAAAATTTATTTTTTTTATTTCATTTTTTTGTTGTGTCGATCGTTACTATACAACAACATATTAAGGTAACCGTTTTATTTTATATATAAAATCCCTTGTTATTAAATTTCTACCAAAAAAAAAAAAATTTTTCTCTCTTAATTTTTTATTCCATCTACGCACTCACGCAACGCACGCACACGTATACATCCAAACGAATAGATTCTTTAATATACTTTTTTTTTTATTTCTTTTTTAAAATAAATTACTTTTTTGTCTTTATAAAATTTTATAATATACACGTAAAGTTTACAAAAATTTACAAAAATGGAAATCCCTAATAATAATGGTTCCAGCAATTACAACAATTATAATAATGACAACAAGATTATCTATAATAGTAATAATAATCATCATCATCACTACTACAATCATCAAAAAAACAATAATGAATATCAACGGGAATACGTTTCTTCTACAAAAATCAACAATGACAACAATAATCAATTAGTGCATCACCATCACCGTCATCATCAATCTTTTCTTCCACAATTAAATGACCATCATCATCATCATCATCATAATCATAATTATCATAATCATGACGAATATTATTATCAATCATCACCTCTTTCTTCATCGCCACCATCATCGTCATCATCATCTTCATCACCATCTTCCTCGCCACCATTCTCTGCATCTCCATTCCCACCTTCACCATCGTCATCATTCAATAGCAATAGTAACTACTACAATTATCATCTCATCAATGATCCAAAATATTTCTCGGATATATCATCGTCAATTAAACAATTTTCATCATCGTTGTCCCCAAAGGAAAAATACCATTATAAATTATCAGGTCCAACTCCTCCATTAACACCGCCACGTCAAGATCGTTGTATTACCACTAAAAGACGCAAAAGAAATAATTCATCGTCATCTTTGTCTTCCAACTCGTCGTCGTCCTCCTCATCTGTATTACCTTCACCATTATTGATGAAAAATTCTAATGGAAACATGATCAATTTATTGAATAACAATGACGATTATAACAGAGCAATCGATGATAATGGTGATGTATCAACTTTACAAGATCTTCCAATGTTTCGTCTTAAAGCGAATTCAACTGCTGATCAACAAAAACAGACAAATGCAACGATTGCTACTGTTAATGATGAAAGAAAATCTTCTTTATCATACTCTGATGATGGTTTATTAATATATGATATTAATAATTCTAATAATAACAATGTCAATAATAATGCTAATGATTCTTCAACACAAATATCAAAAGCACTATGTGAAATCTCCAATAATAATAATACTTCTTTATTAACAAGCAAACGTAAATATCCATGTTCTTTTCCAAATTGTGGAAAAAGTTTCACCACAAGGTTTGTTTTTTAAATTTAATAATAATATTACTATCATTATGTGATTATTGATTCATTATCAAGGTAACTAACTAACCAACCAACCAACCTATTAATCAATAGTGGGCACCTCGCTCGTCATAATAGAATTCACACAGGTGAAAAGAATTTCAAGTGTCTTTTGGGGGACTGTCCTTCCAGATTTTCAAGACAAGATAATATGATGCAACATTATAGAACTCATTTATCTGCAAAAAGCAGGCGCCTAACAAAAGCTTCAGTTCATAATAGCAATAATAACAATAATAACAATAATAATAGCAATCTTCTTCATAGTGGTAATGACAATAAAATATCATTAATTAATTCTAATCAACAACGACCAGAGCAATTTTATCATAATAACAACAACAATAATATGCTATCAACAATGTCTTCTTCGATGAATATGAAGATACCAACTAGATCAACAATAATCTCATCGTCGTCTTCTGATCATAATAATCAATTTATTTTACCACCAATACATACTTTTCAACCATCATTATCATCATCATTATCATCATCATCATCATCATCATCATCATCATCACCATCATCACCATCACCATCATCATCATCAAATTATAACAACAACAATATGGTTTTACGACATAGATTTTAAAAATATAAAGATTTTTTTCAATATTATATATATATAAATAAAATATAAAGATTAAAAAAATTAAATAAATAATAAATAATAATAATAATAATAATAATAATAATAATAATATATATATTTGATGAAAATTACTGGATGAATTTCATCAATTTTAAAAAAAAATTTATTTCAAAAAGCTAACAATTAATTAGTAGTACATAATACATAAAAATTTAGAAAAAAAAAAACAAAATATTCTTAAATTTAAAACCCCTTTTTTTTTTGTAATATAATTTTCTCTCCCCCCCCCCCAATTTTCCTTTTCAATTAATAATGGCTTTTTTTTTAAAAAAAAATAATAATAAAATCATTATGAATTCTTTTTTTTAATCAATAAAAAAAATATATAATATATATATATATGACATATAAAAAAATATATAAATGAATACCCTCATATATTAATATAATTTTGGATAAATATCCGATAATCATAATCATGAATATTATGAATTAATCAATTTTAATTGACAATTAAGTTAAATTAAATTCCGATTGCCTCTTACCCCGCATTATTTTGTGAAAATGGTGCGACATATTTGAACTTTTATTGTATATAGCATAAAAGTTCGCTTTTTATTATTTGATAACCAATTCAAATATTATATTTAAATATATATATATATATATATGTATAATATATATGTCAAATACGCAAAAAAGCCAGTCTTCCATTTTAAGAGTTAAAAAATCATTTATTTATTTATTTTATTTATTTATTTATTTATAAATAATATCATTATCTATTTTTTAACAATTCATGATAAAATATATATGTAGAATTGGTTGGTGGTTATCAGTTTCACCCCACATTTCTGTATACCCAATTTAGATGATAATAAAATGACACTTTAATTTTAATAATTTATTTTGTAGTCAGGGAGTTTCCAAATTCGGAAATTTTAAATAATCGACAATCTAGATTCATTGTGTAATAAATACTGTTATCGAAAATGCACAAGTAAAACAGCAAAACATGTCATACAACTTCAAAAATCATAAAATCATTCATTTGCCCAACCACCAGGTTTGTAATAATATAACTTTCCATTTTCAATATACATACATGCATGCTTCATCTCTCAAGCCTCATCCAATAAAATAAATAGCAGGTTCCAATATTATATTATTGAGACTATAATAAATAATCAAAATAAAATCCAGCACCATTGTGGTTTCTCAAGACATTAAGAAAATAAATTACTTGCATCAAGTAAATATTGTTATTAACAATTGGTTGAATTTGTATAAAGAAATTCAGTAAAATATGTAACATGCTTTTTACCTTAAACCACGTTGTTCAACTGGGTCTCTGGATATCTCTCGGTGCAGTAAATGCAGCAGCAGATAAGGTAAAGTCTCGCAGGCGATCTTTCATAGAAACCAACAAATTTGAACTCCTGCATGAGCTTTTATTAATTGGTCATATAACTCCCAATTTACAGGATTAAGCAATTCGAGAATGTGATTTAATAATATTAACTGATAGATAGATGATTTTAATATTATATAAATTCAATAATTTTTTTCCTTAATATGCCATCATTGATAATCTATCTATCTCATTTAATCCAAAAGAATTGATGATAAAAATAATCGATTAATAAATATTACGTATTTTCTCTGATTATAACCAAATTATTCATTTTGCCCGTTGAAAATACACGTACATAAAAGTCAGGACAATAATTCATAAAACAATAAATAAAAAAAAATCTTATTTCATGTAAACATTGAACTTGCGGCATATGTTCTATATATATATATATATATATGTATGTATGTATGTATATATATGGTTATTACTATGAATTTTTGTATAAGTTACAAAAAAGAGCAAATAAGGTTCTAACAACATTCCACTTCAAAGCTCTCATTTACCCAAGTCTTTTTATTTATTATTCCTATAATAATTATTTAAGTTAAAATTATATAGATCGTTCTAGAATCAATTTCCATCTAGGGTAGGTAATTTCCAAATTTGGAGCCCACCCCTTATCAACTTTGTTCTAAATAAACGAATCTTCGATTGATATATATTTGGGAGACATTTTAATGGAATTTCATTGGGGAACCACGTTTGGAACGCCCGCTCCGATTACATAAATGTCACAACGCTTGACCTGCATAGTACAAGATTGTCCTCAAATAAAAAACGTGAGATGCACCATCTGTGTGGGTACAGTCAGGGACATTACCATATTTGCCATTCGATTTCGAACCCTTTTGTCGATCAATTCATATATATTACATAAGTTAGTTACATATGAATTGATTGTGATACTTTCTTTCTTTCATAATAATAGTTGATTAAAAATCATAATCATTACTAAAAAACTCTTGACTTTTTTTTTTCTTAATAATATCATTCATTTTCGTTTGCAATAATAGTCGTCTCATATGATTACTGACTTTATATAAAATCCCCAGAGATATTTTTATCAAATAGGAGTTAATAAATGAATAATCTGACCGATTATAAATGAGCAAAATGCCGACATTTGGTGAAATGATTGCAAATTTATTAGTTGAAGAAATATTTATATTATATGGTATTTGATTTCTATGTGAAAAAAATAGAATTCACGTTGATTAGATAATTTTTTTTTTTTTGATTATGATTGATAATCACGAACTTGTCAGCTAGTCACATGTCAGACTTACCATTGGATTCGAAAAACAATCAGGGTAGTATATTTTGGGGGTACACCATTTTCATCAGTATTGTATATTTATATATATATTATATATATGTGTGTACATCATGATAATACATTAAACTATTTTAAACAAAATGTCGTACTTTAATTGTATAACGCACAGGCCACCACTGCCATTCATATAAACTTGAACACTAATAGAAATTCGATCTTAAATATTCAGCTAAGCTTTAAGCCTTATCTCTCTTTTATTTTATTTCAATTGCTTGTAATCAAATCAATAAGGAATAAAGTTGATATTAATAATATTTAATGACATCTTGTATAACGTTTTTATATTATATAATGTTCATAACGTATAATAAAAAATGTAAATATAGAGGCATGGGCAAGAAATTTTAATTATTAACGTTATTCTTTTTTTTTATATAATAACAATAACAGATAACAACAAAAACCTTAAAATTTTTTATTTATTTATCAACAAAAAAACCCCTTTTTCATTCATCCGTTATCGTTTTTATATTTGTTTCTAGGTTCAATGACTATTCTTATTATAGAACACCAATAATAAGAAAAATTCACGTTCGTTCAAATGTTGACAATGTCATTTACGATGATGCATATCGCATGTGATTGGATTTTCTTGCAATGACGTTTTTTATAAAAAAAAAAGACGGTTTTTGGAGGTTTGGAAAGAAATACATCATCCGAGCTCCCCGAAATTGTTTCCAGGGCAACAAAAATATTTCAAATTAAATAAAAACTTTTTATTTATTTATTTAATTACTATTTGATAATTTAGTCATTAATTCATTTGCATGTTTTTTAACTTCTTTTACACTTGACAAAGGTCTAATAATCAATCCATTCATTAAAATTTTAATCATCTAAAATAAAAACAAAAAAAAAAAAAATTTATACACAAACCTTACTAAATCCATTGGATATTCTTTCCTCAATAAATTGGCCAAAACTTTTGCTGGCCCAATTAATAAAAAATTATCAACTCCTCTTTCTTTACAATATTTTATACTTTTTTGCCATTGAACAGTGGCAGTCACTTGCTTTACTAGCAATGAAGGGATTTCATCTGCTGATATTATCTAATATAAAATTGATTAATTGATTGATTAAATTATATATATTATTTTATATATCTATACAAACACATATATTATATCATTTTTACCGGTCTTGCTGTTACATTAGATATAACATCTACAATTGGGGTTTGAAATTTAACACCATTCAAAGCATCTTTCATCATTTCTCTTGCTGGATCCATCAATTTACAATGAAATGGTGCCCTAAATAACAAAAATAATTATATACAAAAGTTTCATTTTGTAATAATAAAATTATTATAGTGACTACGATTATAATTATTGTTACTTACGATACAGGTAGATAAACTGCCCGTGCTGCAAGATGATTCAATTGAAGAGCACTTGATGCAAGATCTACACCTTCGCTTGTACCACTTATAACTGCCTAATATCATCAGTATGTATGTATGTATATTTGTTGTTATTATTGTTATCATCATCATCATCATCATTATTATTATTATTATTATTATTTTACAAGATTAAAGAAACATCTGAAAAAAGAAAAAATTTGAACCTTCAAATAAACACCTGAAATGACTAGTATAATAAAACCACACCAAAGAAATAAAATAAGATAAAATAAAATATCAGTTGGAAAATATTTTATTAAATCAATCAACTGTCTAAACACGTATGTAAATTTTTTCTTTCGCGCATACACTATTAATATTAGCCAATTCTACTGAT